AAGATCAATTCCAGCCACAGAATCATAGCGAGGGCCTTAGGTTATGGAAACACAGCAGGAACAAGTAGCAAGGGCCTTAGGTTATGGAAGCACAGCAGGAACAAGTAGCAAGGGCCTTAGGTTATGGAAGCACAGCAGGAACAAATAGCAAGGGCCTTAGGTTATGGAAGCACAGCAGGAATGCTGAACAAGCAGCCAGGGAACCACTGAGTCAGCAACGCCGTGAACAAGAAGAGGTCAAATGGACAATGAAAGACTCAGATACACATAGTGCTGTAGATTATATCGCTGGGGCTTTGGCTTTACTTTGGCAAAGAGCCACTAGATGCCCTTGAGTAGACCAATGACATCTGATCTAACATTTAAGATCATTCTGCTAAGCTGAGAGTCATCCAAGGACAGACAAGGATAGACTTGGAGGATGGTCATCATGGGCAATTACAAGAAATAATGGTGACTGAAGTTCAGATATTGTCAGTGAATGTACTAAGAAGTTTATTCTGGTGATGACAGATACACAGTGTTAAGAGAGAAGTCAAAAATGAGTTCATAATTTTTTTACATGAGGAAGTAGGATAGCATTGCTTTTAACTGAGATTTATGAAGTCTTCAGGAAGAATAGATATTAAAGGGGATCTCAGGAGCTCATTTTCAGGCTCTATATGTATGTGTGTGTGTGTGTGTGTGTGTGTGTGTGTTTCTGTCTGTCTGTGTTTATTAGACATACAAATAGAAATACCAAATAGATACTTGGACATATGGGTTCAGAACTCCTGGGAGAGATGTGGAGATGGAGCTGTAAATACAGGAGTTTTCAAACTACAATTACTATTTGGGAAAAATAGAAAAGTTCATAGATCCAGAAGCAGAGCCTGGGACACTGCAATATTTAAGTCAGGAGATGAAGAGGAACCTACAAAGAAGATGGCTAAAAAGAAGTCAGAAGAGTAAGAAGAGAGCTGATGAGTGTGGTGCCTTGGAAGCCAAGTGGAGGAAAAAAAGTTTTTTCAGGAAGTGGGAATAGTGAGCTTTGTTCACTTCTGCAGGTTGGTAAAGAAAAAGATCAGTAGTGTGGAAATTATAGGTGAGCAAGAGCAGTTTCATTGGTCAGATGGAAACATAGCCCTAGTTGGAGTGCATTAAGTGAATACTTAAGGAACTGTACTGTTCTTCCCAGTTCTGAGCCCTTAGAATCCAGGAACTGCTTCATTCACTGCCATATTCTATCATCTACCACGGTGTTGGCATGCATTAAGTGTTCAGGATATACTTTTTAATTAAAGAATGTGAGAGTAAAATAACCTTTATCTACATGAATTTTATCTTCTGGCAGAGAGAATAACAGAAGAAAGCAAAAGCTCCTATAATAGCCACTGCCCTATGCCAGAACCTCTATGGTGTAGCTCTTTAACTGCAAAGCAGTTTTAGTATCTGTTTGCACATATGACTCATCTACTATATAGAGACATGTGGCACATAGCAGGAAACATTTCATGTTGAATCAATGAATAAGTGAATTAGTAGAAACATGAATGAGTGAATGAAGATACTCAGAATTCACTATATATTACAAAACATGGTACAATAGGTAACTGTAATAAAATAAAAGGCAAATTTACTATAGTTGTACAAACACAATTATCATATATGGTATGATACAAGGCATCGTCAGGTAGGTATAAGAAATGTGTAAAAGTTTTTCTAGAACAAATGGTACTTTTTTCATTGCTGAAACAAATACCTAGCACCCACAAGTTAAGAGAGGAAATGTTTATTATGGCTCACAGTTTGTAGAGGTTTCAGTCTATAGTCAGCTGGCTCCAAGGCAGGATAGCATGGCAGAGGGCCCGGCAGAAGGGAAACAGTTCATGGCATGGCCAGCAGGAAGCAGCAAGTGGCAGCAGCCACCTCTCCCTTTTATCCCTTCCAGGGTACTTGCCTTTTGGGTGGTGCCACCCACACCCAGGCTGGACCTTCCCATTGTCCACACACAGAGCTGTGCTACACCAATTGGTGGACTAATTTAGAAATCACACCCCTTAATGCCAGCATCACACACTGTAGATCCAGCCACCTCTGAAAAGGCCCACCTGTGACTGCATGAGGCTTTGAGGGAACATCTAGATGCAATCCATTACACAAGACATAGTGAGATGGATATAAAAAGTGTATAAAAGTTTTCATAGAACAAATGGTACTTGAGACAGGCCTTAAAGAATCTTAGAGTACTTTGGTTAAGGGAAATGACATGAGAGAACATTTAAAAAGAAAAAGCAAAGCACATTGATAGTGGTGTATGTTCAGATCTTAGTCAGTTTTCAGGGTATAGAACATGTGTAGATGAGACAAAGAAATGTAGCCTGAAGCTCTATTTCTAATGTCAGTATTAACAATAATACTTAAAATTTGCAGAGTACTGTTTTAAGAAGCACTTTCACATACATTTCATACAGGTACTTAAAGCACTTCTGTGACATAGTTAAGATAGATAATAATTTCTCTATTTCAAAAATAAAGAATATGGGATTCACAGAGGTTAACTGATTTGCTTGTCATGGTATCAGTGATTGTCAGAGTTGAAACTCTAGCACTTGTTTTCTGACTCCAAGTTCTTTGTTCCTTTTGCTAATTCATAATAGCTAAATATTAGACTAAGTAAGTGGCTCATACTCTCAATTTGGCATGGCACAGGGAAGCATGGTCATAGTGCAATAGGGAATGATGAGATCACAGGTACATTTCTAGTAAGAGAAATTTGGCTGAATGAAATACTGGAGCAGGTAGAAGTTGAAAGCAAGGACAACTGTGAAGCATTTGCAGTAGTTCACACAGAAGGAATGAGAACCAAAAGCAAAGTTGGTTCAGTATGAATGAGCAGAAACAAAAACTGAAGAGATCTTGTAGAAATAGTGTAACATCTATGGGATTCGACAGGAAATACTTTAAAATTAGGACTTTTGAACCTAAGTGACTGCAGTAATGGTGCCGATAGAAGAGGCAACTTTGGAGTGACCATGAGTGGTACCTAAGTTACATCAGAAAGGTTTGATCTTTTCAAGGCTTCCCACTAAAGTGTATAAATGGGATCAGAGTAGCATAATTTGGGAGCATAATTTCTCCCCATTGCTACAACAGTACTTCTGAGTACATCCCAGGCCTTGTTTCTTAGAGTTTTGTTTCTCCCCATCTGGCTGGTACAAGTGAGCTATCCTTGGCATTGTATGAGCCTGACAAATTTCGCCACTTGCTATAAGTGAGCCCTTCCCCACTTTGTGTAGTTTCCTTATCTGCATGTCCTCTTCTGTATTTAGCAGTCACCTGAGGGAACCCTCTGTGGCTCTCTGGAACTTTTCCTCTGTGGGTCTCCTCTCTAGTACAGTATTCCACCAAAATGAGTCTGGCCCTCTTGGCCTCCCCTGATTCCCGCTCTGCCTCCTCAGCGCAGGATGGCAACCAGGCTCTCGGGAAGTCCTTCCTTCTTGTCAGTGGCCTGGAGTAAGTTGGGCAGTCTGGGAAATCACAGGTTTCATGTCACCACTTCCTCCTCTCAGGCAGTGCTCCTTGCTCTGTCTCCCATCCGAGATGAGCAAGTTGTTTTATCTGTTCTGTCTGAGTTGTGTGCGTCCAGGTGGGTGGGTAGATTTGGTTCCTATTATTCCTTTTTTGTTAGAAGCACAGTTCCTCTGTAGATCTTCATAATTATTAAGCTTAGTAATTGCAGAGAATAATGTGGGGTAAAATGTACTGTTGAAGAGTTGCTGAAATAATCTAGGAATGATTCTTAATGACAAACCAGTGGCTTTCATTACAAAGATATTAAAATTGAAAGGTTGACTAATACTTTTGAAATCAATCTCTTCTAATTTTTTATGTTTAAATTTAAGTTAGAGTAAAGAAGTCACATTTTCTTATGTTTTATTGTTTTCTTCAACCCATATTCATTACTGGGAGGTAAAATATTTTAATGCTGTTCTGTATTCCTATTTGCAGTATTTTTTAGAAAGAACTGTCTGCATGTCAACCTATCTAAGTGATAGGTTGAAGTGTCTGCATGTCAACCTATCTAAGTGATAAGTGAAGTCATAGAGATCTATGGACTTGATCTGCCAGTAGCACATATATTTAAGTGAGCTTTGTGATTGTGAGTTCTTAATTGGCATCTGAGAGCATGGGTACTCCTCTATGTTCAGTGTGCAGTGCAATGGCAGTATGAAGCTCCGTTCATAAATTTATCACTGAGAGGAGCTGAAAGCACATTCATGTAAGCTCTGTAGGTAGTGCAAGTCTTTGTTTAATAGTGGCCTGTATGGATGACCAAAGCAACCTGAAATTAGCGCTTTTTCATGAAATGACTATTTTAAACTTGCTAATGATAGTCCCAGTCCTAGAGTAGTGTGAAACGAAAGGAGACGTCCAGCTCAAGCAGTGAGATGGAGTAGGAGAGGAATTCCTTCCTCACCTTTGTTCTCTTCCAGACCAAGATGGACTGGATGGCACCTCTCTAACTGGGAGGACACTGCTTAGCCTGCTGACTCACATCATGAGGTCCCCTGCAAACACCCTCAGACACACACTCAAAATCAGTGTTAATCAGATATCTGAGTGTTCTGTGATCCAGTCAGTTTGACACCTAAGATTAACTACCAGAAGGACTTTTAAAATCTTGCAGTATTTTTCTGTACAACTGAAAAGTACACCCTTAACATTAGCATGCTAATGTTACATTTGAATTAGTATGATCTTGAATGTGCCTTTTGATGAAATGAACATGTTCTGTGAATAATTCCTGGCAGAAAGGTCATGTGCATTTGTAATATAGATAGATATCATTATATAGTAAAATATTAGTGATAATAACTAATTACATTGGTTTTATTTTAATCAGTGGAGTAGACTAAGATATAGTGTTTTTTTTTTTTACCATTCAGTTTATTGGTTATCATTCTAATTACATCTTTTATTTCCTCTCTATCTTTTCCCTGTATTTTTTCTACTCATAGCTATATGCCATCCCTTGGTTTCTCACCATGTTTACTCGTAAGTATCATTTTCCCTTTCCTTCTAGTATTGTATTAGCAAAAGTACAGTTCCACTCTTCCCTAGTATTTTATATTATTTTACAGTAATATTAAGGACATTTACTGTGCATCCTTATGTAATTCTGTTATGATAGAGTTCAATAGAAAAGAATTCTAGTTGTTCTGTCCCTTGAATATTATAAAAGAATTGTATAGGATGACAATCTGTTTTACATGTTGATGTTCATACAAGCTTTGCCCACTTTTGAAGAGAGAATTTAACATCAACTATAGTACATGAACTCTATGAAACCAACTTTTGAAACAAAATTAGCCTAAATTTCAGTAAAGCAATGCTCTAATAACTAGGAATTTTATTTCCTTTAACTAGTATTCCTCTAGAAATTAAAAGGTTATGTATAGAATACTTTAGTTATATATATTAATATAGTGTGTATCCTTACATATAATACATATACTAAATGGAATAATATTATGAAGTAGATATTCCCTGGAATGATATACAACTATACAACTGTATACAACTATATTATTAAAAAACAAAAAAATAATTAAAAAATTAATGGAATTGTTGGTGGGAATTACTAAATTTATTAAAAGCATTTGTAATGCAAAATGGAAATGTAACTTTACTGTATATAAAACAATGTTAAAGTTTATCTGTATAAGTAAGTTTATGTAAATAATATAACTAAAATTTTCTGAGGAAAAGTATTTGACGAATGGGACAAATTTACTAATATTGATAATAGAAGTTAGAAAATGTCATCCATTTCACTAATCTTTAACAATTTTTAAGAGGCTTTGGAAGTTAAATTTTAGCCAGCTGAACATTTTGTAAAGTTGGAAAGTATTAGCTATTTATTTATTTATGAATGAGACACGGTCTAACTGAGTTGCCCAACCTGGCCTCAGAATTACAGTCCTCCTGCCTGAGGCTTCTGAGTGTGAGATCACAGGCACAAACCACAGTGCTGTTCTTAGTATTAGCTCTTGCAGAATAGACCATAAATTGATAGTTGTGTGTTGAGTAAAGCAAATTGTTTTAGTTTTTGTTGAGTTCTTAATTTTAATTAATTTTTAAAAAATTATTCCACAGATGTATTTCCATTGCATAAAATATTCCACCTCTGGGACACTTTGCTACTTGGGAATTCCTCTTTCCCATTCTGTATCGGAGTAGCAATTCTCCAGCAGCTGCGGGACCGTCTTTTGGCTAATGGCTTTAACGAATGCATCCTTCTCTTCTCTGATTTACCAGGTAGGGGTCTAAATAAATGGGATCACTAAATGTCATTGGACCATAAAATAACAAGAAAGCCATTTGCAAAAGTAATCATGCAGGCCTTTAGCATCTCGCCTGCTGGGACCTCTTTATCCCTCTGCTCTGTCTCCCTTACACATCGCCTCTGCTGCTGGCCCAGCACTGCAGATACAAAGGGGTCACAGTAGCTCACTGTGGTTTGCTTTAAACCCACTAATGCCACCAGAAGGGTAAAAGGCTGGGAAGTGCGAGTGCCCACCTTCTTGCTTAGGATTGAACTGTTTATCTTGATCTCATGAGAGTAAATGAGGGCTGCTTGGGAAGATGCTGGAGAATGTATATTTATATGAAAATAGTGATTCCTGTGGCACTTTGCTCCCTCCTCACCACGGCTGCTTGCAAACACAGTGACAGTTTCAGGAAAGAGAACGCTGTCCTCTTGGGAGGTCAAAATAACTCAGGGAAGTTTTGTGTCATACAGTACAGTGTACTAAGTTAAACTGTATGGGGTATGCATGCGTGAGGAATTTGAAAAACCTAGGGCTTAAATGCTTAAAGGCAAAAGTATGGCTAGCAAGTATAGTCTTGATCCCATTGTTAAAAAGATGAAATTACTATGGTTGTCCATGATGTAACTAAATCTGTCAAAGGGGAAAAAATGATACACTTTGGCAGAAACTAAAATGTTTTTAGATAGAAAAATTATTCTTTTTCACAATATTTCATTGGCTCATTCTAATGCTTCTGCTCATTCTAATGCTATCCCATATATTTTTAGGAAACACAAATTTTGCTAATAATAAATACACTTAAAATTATCGAAGAAATAAACATGCCTGAAAACCAAATAACAAAAAAGGAATCAGATGTTTGCTGTCTTATTTATTTTGCATTTTTAGTGGATGGTCTATATTTAATATTCTACAGTCTCTCTTGAAAATCTTCAATTTGAAGAGAAATAATAACAAAGATGCCTTTGAATTATCGAAAACTTCTGCTTTCCTCTTCCCCAAGTTAAAACTATCACCATCAGTTAATTTATCAAATTTTAATTAAAGTGAATTATTTCTTCTATAAACAACTACTTTATTTTTTCTGTAAGATTGTGAAAGGGTTGTTTTTTCCTCTTTCAGGTTTTGAACAAGAATAAAAAAGTTAATTTCACAAACTAAGAATACAGAATATTGTTTGTACCCTACAGATGTTTCCTTGTCATTCCCAACTTGCCAAAAAAACAGAGAAAGATAACTGCTTTGGATTAAAAGAATTTTTCTGATAAGTTATAAAAATGTATATATTAGAAATGCTGATTATTCATTTTTAAATCAAATACTGTAAATGTAATGATTTTCCTATTCCATACATAAGTGTTCCCATGAAGTACTGGTAAAGGAATCTGTTTTAATATTTTACAGGCAGATTAGTAGTCAGTCTTAGCAAAAAGGGTAGCCCAGCCAACTCCATATTTTGCTTCTAATTTTGAGTCAGTTTATAAAGAAAAGATAGCATTGATATGAACTTACTAAATATGTTGTACTTTATTGAAATGCCACTTCACTGAGTTTAAATAATAAGCAGAACAAATTTAACCACAGTCTTTGCTAAAGCAGATTGACTAAGACGATGTTCAGAAGATCTCCTGGCAATAATATAATACAGATACCACATGATTGGTGACCTTGTGAACAGAATGGGTCCGCCTTTTTAGTTCTTTTTTTTTTTTTTTTTTTTTTTTAGAGCTTAAATATTTCAAAACTTTTTTTTTTTTTTAATTTATTTATTTTATTTTAAGGATAAAAGGAGGGAAACATTAACAGACATACAACATTTTACAACATATCACAAGCACAATATAGACAATACAGAGTTACAAACAAAGTGGTAGGGAATTAACAATGGTGGTTGTATTACATATTGATATCTTCAAAGTGGCTTCTCATGAAAACAGATATAGACATGCAATACTGGTCAACCAAAGACTCATTGACAGTTTCTTTCAGCATAGAAACAGCAGATAGAACAACCATGTTATCTATCCTGTATATACATACATACAAAATTTCTCCTTCTTCTTCTTTCCCTTTTTAGTTCTGATAGCCTGGAATCTAAGAGCATGGCGAGTATAGTTAGATCACATGGGTTCAAATTGTGGCTCCACCACTTCACGTTGTCCAACCCTAGAGAAATGGCTTAACCTCTTTGTATCTATTTCCTCACCTCCAATCATATGAGATTGTTAATAGTACCTATGACATAAATTACTGTGTTAAATCAGTATCTCTAAGGAACTTAAAAGGATTGCTTAGCAAAGAACAATGTAAGTGACTATTATTGTCATTATTATTATTACCACCTTTCCTCATTTTTTTCATTCTATCATAACTTATTTGCCTCTTGACAATGTAAATGCAGTTATATCTCCACCTGTCTTTTCCTCGAAATTATTGAATTAAGCATCAGTCATACACACTTTCGGGTCTCACACCCAGTGACCCACCCCTTCCGACCAGATCCCACCTCCTCACAGCATGGGAGCTGTGAGCTCATCTGCTGATGCGTATAATGTTCCCCTATCTCCTCACCTTCTAAACACGTGAGCCTTTAGGGGGCGTTTCATATGTACGGTAACATTCAGCCTACTTAAGTTCCCTCTCATTTCTTCCCTCTTTCCTTCACTTTATGCTCTTTAATTCTTATAGGGAGAAATCAGCTGAAAGTTGTAATTCTTTTGGCCAAATTTTTTTTTTCAAATTCAATTGCCTTGTAGATGATAGAGTGTGATTTTACATTCCAAGGAAGTACAAGTAGTGCTAGAAAATTTTGCTGAAACTTCTTGACATGTATTGGTATGTGTGCCATGTTTGTACTAAAGGAAACAACTATGAAATCAGTGTACTTGGTATTTCTCTTGCAATCTAAAAATAGTGGCAGCATATTTTGGAAGAAATACTGAACTTTCATAGTCCCAACCAATACTGGATTTTGGCCAGGGGTGTCAGAGAACATTTCCAAAGTTACAGCCTTTTAATCCAAATTATGTGATGAGGATTGACAATATTCATCCTGTTTTCCCTTTTTGATATCATTCTGCTATAGTGTCTACTTATTTGATTTTTTAAAATTTCTTTTGAGGATACATCCACGCAGTTTTGAAGATGAGTATAAGACCCAAAAGGTAATAATTTGAGTGGCTTTCTCAGAGCATAGATTTTTAAATACTTTATTTTGTTGTGGCATTTCCTTTGTACAGTTGAATATTGATTCAACATATTAATGTCATTTCAAATAGTTAAAACAGATTCTTAGAATAGGTTCCCTTGCATCTTGATCCCCCTCAGTCAGGAATGTTTATAGCCAGGAAAGAAAATTTTTTTAGAGAACCTATATTCCCAAGAAATTCCCAAGAAATTGGGAAATCTTTGTGAAAGAACCCTTAACTTATTCTGAGAATAAAACCATGATTTTAAAATTAAGAGAAAGAAATGTGTATATGTAAACTGTTTAAGCTAAACACTGAGTATACTGGAGAATTTCAGCATACGAAAAGTTGCAAATTGCATTTGCAGAAAGAAATTAGCATTTAGCTGAAACATCTTAATAGTATGATATTTGGTTTATTATAGAAGCTTAATTTAAAGGAAAAACTTTAAATGAATTTTAAAAGCATTTTATTTCTTTATTACTGACATACTTTGCAATAGAATTTAATTTTCAACACAAATATGAGAATATTAGTAGTGTATTACTATTTTCACTGGTTCAAAAGTATTGTAGGTGTTGTGACATGATAATGTCTAAGTAAAGATATTTATATAGACTTAATACAGCTGTGTAATACAATCCTCATTGAGCACAGCATGGCATGTTTCGTGAAAACACTTTTTTCACTCTTCATTGGTTTTACAGATTAATAGGTTCCATTTTATCATACCCATACATGCATATAACATACTTTGATCAGGTTCACCCCCATTTCTCCCTTGCCCCCGTTGCTGCCTAATTTCTCATTTTTTTGAGGTTTCAGTAGATGTATTTTGATCATATCCATCCCCTCAACCAATGTTACACTCCTCTTATTCTGTTTCTCTTGTCTTAATAATAGACCCTTTTCTACTTATTTTTTTTTTTAAGATTCCACCTGTTAGGACATTCAGTGTTTGTTTTTCTGAGCCTGGCCTCTGTTGCTCAACTTGATGATATCCAGGTCCATCCAGTTTTCCTGCAAATGACAAAATGTCATTGCTATTTATTTCTGAATAATACTCCAGTATGTATATAAAATAATGCATTTTCTTTACCCATTCATCTCTTGGGCACTGAGGCTGGTTCCCTACCTTGCATCCTGTGAATTGTGTTGCAGTAAACATGGGATGCAGGTGTCTGTATTATACAGACTTTAATTCCTTAGGGTGTATACCAAGAAGTAGTATAGATGGGTCATATGGCAGCTCCAGTTTTAGTTTTTGAGCAACCTGCCTACGGATCTCCATAGTGACTACTAATTTACATTACCAACAGCAGTGTAGAAGGGCTTCTTTTTCCTCCATCCGCACCAACATTTGTTGTTTTGTTGTTGTTGTTGTTTTCTTAATGATAGCCATTCTGACTGGGATGAGATGGAATTTCATTTTAATTGTAATTTGCATTACCCTAATGCCTGAAGATGCTGAACATATTTTCATATACTTATTGGTCATTTGTACTTCTTTTTATAATTCCCTGTCCAATTCATTTGCTCAATTGATTTTTTGATGTTAAGCTTTTTGAATTCAATCTATATTGTAGACATTAACCCTCTGTCAGCAGAGGGGTTGGTAAAGATTTTCTCCAGATTTGGTAGGCTGTCACTTAATGCTGTTGATTCTCTTGCTGTACAGAACCCTTTCAATTTGATGTCCCATTTGTTGATTCTTGCTGATTCTTTCCTGGGCTATTAGAGTCCTCTTCTGGAAGTGTTTGCTTATGCCTATAATGTTTCTCCTATGTTTTCTTTTAGCAGGTTCAAAGTTTCAGGTTTTATTTCTAAGTTCTTGATGCACTTTGAATTGAATTTTCTGCAGAATGATGATGGGGATCTAGTTTCAATCTTTAGCAGTTTTGCCAGCAGAGTTTTTTGAAGAGGCTGTCTTTTCTCCAATGTATATGTCTGGCTCCTTTGTTCACACTCAGGTAGCTGTAGCTGTGTGCTTTGTTCGCACATCTTCTAGTCTGTTCCATTGGTCCATGTGTCTATTTTTGTACCAATATCATGCTATTTTTGTTAGTGTGGCTCTATAATATAATTTCAAAGTGGGTATTATGGTGCTTTCTGCCTTCCTCTTTTGGAAAACAACACATAGTTCTGTGCTACATTTTCTAAGATCCACAATAAGAAATTCAGGCCACTGTTTTCAAGCAACATACAGATATGTTAGAACTAAAACAAAGGGAATGAAGTTGTAGAAACTAAAAAATAGAGCAAAATGTTAAAATATGCAAATTCCTGAATCTCAGTTTTATCATTTTTCTGTTTATACTCAAGATGGAATTGGATAATTAGAGTGAGAGCATAACTGAAATCTCAGTTCAGTTTATTTGTTTGTTTGTTTGGTTTTTTTGTCTGGTACCGGGAATCAAACTCATGACCTCACACTTTTCAGGCAGGCACTGTGCCGCTGAGCTAAATCCCCAGCCCTCAGTTCAGTTTATTGCACTGCATAGATTTTGTGGTACTTTTTTTTTTGGTCATTATTTTCCTTTTTTCTTTTTTAGTGCCAGGGATTGAACCCAGGGTCTCACCCTTTCCGGACAGGCACTGCACTGCTGGGCTGCATCCCAAGCCCAGTATAATGGCACTTTTGGTGATCCCTAGGGTGGGAAAAGAGAAGAAGAGCAGTTAGTACATACTGCATTTAGTTCTGAGTTCTCATTACCCTGTAACACATCTTGGCAAAATCAAGACATAATTTATCTTCCTTACTTGTATTTACATCAGAGAGTAATATTAAGCCACTTCTTAGCTCACCCATATGTCTACAATCTTTATATTAATATGATCCAAGATTTACTTTGTGCAGCATATTGTTACAGTATAAATCATAGCATGAGTCATGTTATAATAAGTTGGGATGCCAGACAAAATCAACCTCATTAAATCTGAGTTTCAATTGACAAAGAATTGCATATGAATATGTCCCAAATACTCATTTTTATTTGAGACTCAAATTTTACTAATGCCCTGCAGTTGTGTTTGCTAAAGCTAGCAACCCTTATTATAGTGTTAAAAATAATTTTTTAAAAAGATACAGAAAAATATTAGGGAATTCAAACACAGCAAGAGCAAAAGGAGGGGCAGGGAGAAGCCTCTTTTCTTCCCTTATATTGTACGCAGGCTACCTGCCCTAAGACTCACACCATCTCCATACCCTCCTCTTGCACAGGCTGAGGATGTTTACAAAGTACAGAACCTGGCCCTCTGCGGAGTCCCTTAGTTAAACTTGAAAACTTCTCAAATTGATACAATGTACCGATGATTACAATGATCCTACACACAGTCATCTAGAAGCTTCATTTTCTAAGTCTTAAACCAAGGTTCATATTCCTGGCCCTAGCATCTCAGTGCACCTGTGGATGCTGGTAAAGCACCTAAATAAATGAACACAAGTCACTTTACACGTTTTGCAACATTCCCTAGCTTATATATATTCTCTCCTTCCCCTCAAAAACTGTATTGCTCCCTCACTTCTAAACTATGTATTGCTAATTATACAAACTTCAAATAGGCCAAATTTCAAAGTAGACACAAATTTGAGGCCTTTTCAAATGTTTTCATTAGAGCCTGTTACTTTGACAGAATGTTAGGTTTTGATGTGGTGCTTTCACATATACACATGTTTTCATTGCATCACTTCCCCTTATGACCCCCCTACATTCTTCTCCCCTTAGTCCCTTTCTCTTCCAGTGATAGTCTTCTTTCTGCTCTCATGCCATCTTTTTCATATTCTACATAGTAGAAAAAACATGCCATATGTGTCTTTCTGAATCTGACTTATTTCAATTAACGTGATGATACCCAGTTTCATCTATTTCCTGCAAATGACAATTTCATTTTTCTTCATAGCTGAGTAATACTCTATTGTGTACACACACACACACACACACACACCACATTTTCTTTATCTGTTCTTCTATTGATAGGTACCTACACTCGTTCCATCAGATCTTGGTTGTTATGAACTAACTGTACTGAAGTACGTTTGGGTATGCAGGTATCCCTGAAGTATGCTGACCTTAATTCCTTCACGTGTCTATCAAGGAGTGATACACCTGGGTGATAGGGTAGTTCTATGTATAGTTTCTTAAGGAACTTCCAAAATTTGAGGCTCTTGACTGATGAATATTGTAATTGTTAAAACTATGTATAAATGATAATATTTTCATTTTAGAGGAAGAAATAGATTGTAACAAAATTATGTAAGTACATATAAAGAAAAAGTTACTTATTTAGGTTGGTTTTTTTCTTTATGTATTTGAGTAAATAGGACAAATCTGGTGACTTCTAAATTTATTCTCAGCTTTATTACTCCATGTAGAGGTTGAAAACTTTTGTTCTCTGAAAACATAAGCCTATGCATTTATTGGAAGTAAAACATTATTTTTTGTCAGAAGTGTAATATATTTGTGAAGTTTGAGCTAAAGCATATTTTCATATATTAACCTGAAACAGCAGCAATATATTCTTGATATGCTTAGCCAGTGAAAAGAATCATAATGTGAATGTTGTGATTGCTCTGTTGAATGGACAATGTGCTGCTATAACTTTTCCACTAGTTAATATGTACCTTCATAAAGCAAAAGAACTGTTAAGTAAATGTAAGTACACCAAGGCCCTTGCCAAATAAATGTGGGTGTGCTGGATTTTTAGCCTAAAGTTCAGAATTATTTTAGAGACTTTTAACTATATACATGAGAAGCTATCTGAGAGATAGTTTTTAATTAACAAGTTTTTCATTTTAGGAATAAAAATAAATAAAACAGCATTGCAAAAGTACTTAAATATCATCTCCTAATTGTAAACAGTGACTCAGTTTTTAAAAGCTTTAAGATTTAAGTCAGTACAAATGAAGATAGCTAAAATTGTGTAGCACGTAATTGTTCAGTAAAAGTTTTGTGCTGGCACACCTGTAAGATTGACATTATTTTATTTGAAGCTGAGAATCCACTAATTATTCACACTTCCTGTTTGCACCTATGTGATGTCTCTAGGTTCTCCTTGGGATTGCAAAATCACAGCATAATTTAAATTAAATATGAAGATTTCATCTGTGGTCCTCCTCAACCCACCTATCCTTAAAAATACATAAGAACTTTAGGATCTAGACAGTATGTTAAATTCTTTGGAGTTCAGAATTGATCAGGGGAAAATGAGAAAGTAATTAATTTGTTTTCATTTGCATGGTTGTGAAATACCACAATAGAAAATAATTTTCAAAATCTCATTAAGTTATATCATTCTTGTGGGGAAAGAACTACTGAATTATTTTATGGAAAATGAGACACTTCAAACAAGTATTACCTCATTTCCAGGCAAAATAAATGATCATGAGAAGCAGAAAGCCAGTAATGACTGATGAAGATTATCATATTATAGCACTATTAAAGAAAGCTGAAAAAATTCTCATATCACTGACCTAGGTGGTGCTCTCAGAACATAGAACTCACCTTACAATATGTAAATACTTTATACATTTGAAAGAAATGTTTCTTATATGCTGGTAACTATAATGAAAAAGTCAAGGTTGATCAGAATTTCTACTTACTTTGAAAACTGAGAGTATATTAGAGTATTAATTCATCCTAGACCCGGTCCCAGGACTTTAAGACTCTGATAAGAAAGTCCTGCCCCACAGCAGAACTGCCTATTTTATGATTGACAAGGGCTTCTTCTTTGTGAATTTATATGAACAGTCCAAAAATTTTTATAGTGTAGATTAGTGTTTTCAAACTTGCTCACTTTCAAGACTTCAGTGATGGAATGTTTGTTTTGCTGTTACATGTTTTCATGTTATGTGCAAATCACTTAAAATATATAGAACACTTCACTTTTAAGATATATTGAAGTTAATTAAACACAAAAACCTTTAAACATTGGAAATTATCTTTAAAATTCTTCCCCATGCACAGCTGTAAGTTGCACTTATGAGTTACTTTTATCATGTATTTCCATATATAATTTGTACTTTAGTAAAATAACTTTCCTCTACCTAGCCCTACATATCTAGCACAAAAATTAAGTTGCTGTGCTACTTGTCTTAAGTGGTAAACTTCATCCTAATGGAAAGTAACTTCCTTACCACATGTCCTTTGTAAAACTGTAGTGAGTGTGCTAAGTCAAAGTAAAATAATGAAATAAAGTACAAACGGACTCCACTGGAGAACAGAAGAGGAATATTATGTCAATATGTGTATAGGCTAGCTTTTCAAAATTAGGTAGCATAGATGAAGTGACTAGAATTTTCTCACTTTTATTACAAGAAACTAGATTTAATTACCTTCAAAATTAAAACCATTTCAACCCTTCTGCAAAAATTATCGATTACTATATGAAAACTGGTTATCAAATTTGAGTACAAGGTTCTATTTGCCACAAAAATAGAGACTCCAGTTTTGTTTCTGATTTACCATGAAGTGTAAAACAAAAGTGGGGAAAAAATCAAGACTTCCACTGACCTGGTGCTAAATCCTCCATGCGGCTGCACTATTCTTTTCTCTGAGGTTCCATTATCGACGCCAGCTGCTTTGCGCTGTCATGTCTACCTACTCCACTGTAAGGGAGAAAGACAGTTACATTATAAACAGAAAGGTTTAAGTACTCATATATCAGTTATGTTTATTGCCTGTGCTGTTTATGTCTGGCTTCATTGTGGGCATTAAGCAGCAGGGAAGAGAGATGCATAGCAAAATGTGCCAGTAATTTCAGGCACATATACTGGTTTTGAAAGGCTGAATGAAATAAAGTGGAAGCCCAGTAACATGTCCATTCTTTTCCCCTTAGACATTGCCAAGACTGTGTAATAAATATAAATACATATAAATGTTTATATTTATGTACATTCAGCAAATATCTAGTGACTACTATAAGTGTGTAGGTATATATATGTATGTGTTTATGTATGTGGTGTGATAAAAAAATAGTGTTTAAGCAAGAATCAACAAATGAGATTATATCAGACTAAAAAGCTTCTGTACAGCAAAAGAATCAGTGAAAAGACAACCTATTGGAATGGGAAAAAGTTTTACCAGCTACTCTTCAGACAGAGGACTAATATCTAAAATATACAAAGAATGCAAAGAAATTAAATCATCTAAAATTAAAGACCCAGTCAAGAAATGGGCAAGAGAAATGACCAGACAATTCACAGAAAAAAATGTTCAGCTTCACTGGCCATTAGAGAGATGCAAATTAAAACAATGCTAAATTGTATCTTACTCCAGAAAGAATGGCAGTTATCAAGAAATCAAAAAATAACATGCTGATGTGGCTGTGGTGAAGAAAAAACTCTCCTTCACCATTGGTGGGAATGCAAATGAGTACAATCATTATGGAAATCAATATGGGGATTTCTCAAAGAACTGAAATTAGAAATTGCATATGACTCAACCATCCTCTTTTTAGATATCTTCCCCAAAGAGCACAAGACGTCATACTACATTGATACATGCATACGAGTGTTTATAGTAGAGCAATTCTTAATAGCTAAATACTAGAAGCAACCTATATACCCATCAACAAGTGATTGCATAAAGAAAACATGGTGTCTAGGACAAATTTCAGACATTTGTAGGAAAATGGACACACATGGAAAATATAATGTTGAGTGAAATGAACCAGACACACGTATGGTATCTCTCATTTCAGGGAGGCAAAGCACAAAGAGAATAATAAAGGATGGATAGATGGGGACAAGGAGATGGATCTCTTACAATAGGGAAGAGGGCCAGGGAAATAGAGTGAGGGGTGAGCAAGAGGGAAAGGGGAAATTAGAATAAAGCTGTACCATGTAAAGGAACCTGATAACCTCACTGTAAACATTCCATGCCCTAAGATAAGCTAAGGTTAGTAATATCAACAAGAATGAAAATTGGGATAGGGGAACTGGGGGAGAAAGGGAGAGAGGGAGAGGGAAAGGAAGAGGGATTTTTTAAAAAGGAACAAACTGTAGTGTGTGCGTGTAACCATTTCCCAAGCTGATTGTAAACTGCATGTACTGCAGACATGTAGTAATAAAATAACATTTTAAAGTATAGTGTTTAAATTTTTTAAAACAATGAAAGACACATTGCCATTGGCTCTCCCGCAAATACTCCGTACTTCCAATACACTTACCTCACCATTCTTGCAACTGTTTGCAGTACTTCTGGAAGTCCTCTTTCATGAGTATCTTTAGTTGGACTGTCATAGTTGCCTCCGTGTCCTGAATGAATTCAACATATTTACCTTTCAAGGTCGTTTTGACCTTATGTAAGAGCCAGAAGTCACATAGTACTAGATTCTGTGAATAAGGAGGATGAAGACACACTGTCATATTATCATTTGACAGAAGTTACTGTAAACAAACTATACACTGTTTCAGAAAGTGACAAGAACAATGGGATGTGTGTTCAAAGTGGTAGAGGGTATCTTGAAGAGTAATGACAATGTGCCTTTTGCTGTGATAAAAATTTTTTAAACATTTTTATGTCACGTAGTCATATTGTGCATAACTTCATAGTCTTATTGTGGTTTGTCATTTCCATACACTGGCCCACAGCATTCATGAGTATTTAGAAGTGACCTAGTAGGACCCTTTAACTGTGACTAACACTTCTAAGGGTAGTTATCTTACTTATGCATGGTATTAACTTCCTTGTTAACTTAAGGCATGTGGCTGTATAATGCATTCATTCTCTAATCTTTTCAGTTAAGAAATTCAGCCTCCTTCTCAGAATCACTCTTAGGATCAGTAGGATTTAGAATTCGGTGGGATGTTAAGTGTGGTGGATAGATTCCAATATCTTAGCTAAGTTGGGTGGTGGGAGCAAGGTAAGGGATTGGATATGGTTCCAGGAAGAGAGAGTTAAGTTCTAGAGATGTGCTTACAGTGTTTACGAGGCAGTGAGATTTAGGAGCTCAGGAATGACTAGAGATTTTTGGTTAACAAAATAATAAGTATAATTTGAAGATAAATGAAGGTTAGGTAAAGTAACTTTCCTTAAAGGCAGGCCTTGTTTAAGAGAATATAATATTCTACATATCAAGTAGTTCTTTTTACCTGCTTAGAAAATAAAGATTGGTTGGTTGGTTGATTTACAATCTTTATGATGTTTATAGGCTAGTTTGAAGTAACTATGTGAAAAGGAACACATAAGAAGGACAAATAATGCAAAAGAAGCTATATAGATTAATAATGGTGTTGGTAAGATGAAATTCCAATAAATGAGTGTTTGTGAAAAATGCTATGTTTAGAACAAAAAGACCAGGCAATAATACATTTATTTTGGGGAAGCATCCAATAATGTTTGGCAATGAAAAAATTCACTAACTATTGTTACTTTACTGTTCTCAAGCATCTGAGTCGGGGGCTGTATGTCAAAACAACGTGTTCTCTTTCTGTGAGACTTTAGAATATGTGATTCTATTTATTCAACGTGTGTTCAAAAGACTTTATTATGTGACAGACACAGCAGCCATAAAGATAGATAAGATGTAGTACAGTCTTGTATAGAATGGGGACTCTTTGTGGCCATCATAAGGTAAGGAGGATGCAAGGTAGAGATACCTGGGCTAAATGAGTGAGGGCAGTGATGCTAGTGGCGTGATAAAAATTGGTGAGATATGCAGAGTGCTGATTGTACAGGGCTTTGCAGGATGTGCCGAGGAGTTTGGGCTTTACCGTATTCTATATGCAATCAGAAAGCTTTAAGCAGAAAAATTATAGCATTTTTATATGTATTAGAAAATTGCATCTGGCTAGTGTGAGTGGGGAAGTTAAATTGGACACCTGTAAAATATTTGTCCTAAACAGTCAGAAGCGCTGCCCAAGGATAAGTTCAAGAATATAGCAAGAGTTCCTACTGAATTCATCTCTTTACTAAAATGAGATACATGACAAAATCCTGAGAGATTTAATGTTTTGGAACTTTGTATCTAGCAATAACATTCTATCCTTACTTATGTGTCATAGACTACAGGTGACACTCCTTACAGACAAATGCTAAATTTGATCAGTGTGTTCCTCAAGGTTATTGGGTCTGTCTTTAGATTACCCAGGATCTATGCTGTATCTATCCGCTGCAACTATGCTTTCTCTTAGGACAGTAAGGTGTGATGGAGGAGCTATCCACTCAAGGGTGTCTTGAAGCGCTGTCCCTAGAATTTACCTGTAGAAAGTGCTTCACAGTATGCATATTGTATTTTATTCACTTTGCTCTTTGCTAGTAAGATAAGCAACTTTATAGTCTGTCCAGTAGTGAGAGATTTTTTTGTATTATTATTGGGATGTTTTCATATTATCAGAAGACATCAGTGTCTAGAATACTTATCATCATCTTTCTATAAGTGAACTCTTTGTGTCAAAAAATACTGGTTCTTTAAAGTTGGAAGATTTACAGTTTGCAGATCACCTTCATACTTTTGCATATTAATATGAATTAGTGTACCATTCTTGTATATTAATAGTGTAATAAATGATGATATGTAATTGGACAATGAATAAACAACTCTAAACCTAGTCTCTATGTTAATCCAGTTGTGAATTTCACACACAAAAATCTTCATAGATAAAAAGGATACACAAACTTTGTACTGCATTTATTTCTCCAAGTATTTAAGCATATTTTAAGTAAAATTTATAGAAGCAAATTATATAGTTCTGTACCTTTTGACCCCAGTCAAGATACAGAATATTTTCATCACCCTAGAAAATTCCTTCATGCCACCTGTGAGTCAATTCCACTCCTCCATTAGCAAGCCCTGCTGTGATCTATCAGCATAGAGGAGTTTTATTTGTGCTTGGCTTTTATTTTATGAACTATGTCTTTTCATAAATAAGGTTTTTAGATTTTCATTTTCTTCTGTGACTATTGTTAGGGGATAAAATGTGCTCAAGTGAGCTAGCATATAGGTGTTGGAATTGCTGATTAAGCCAACAAGCCAAGCTGTGATGGACAATTACAGCATATAAGCCAGCAGTTCAACTGGAGAAAGAGCCATCTTAGCCCTGTTCCATTTTCCACATGGAGCAGTGCCAGGCCTGGGTCAGATGGGGCAGCATAAATATGGACATCTTCTACTGCCAGAAGCCCCTGCCAGCTATGGTCCTATGGGCCAGAAAGAAAGTAGACAGGGCTAGGAGTAGAAAAGTACTGAGTCAGAATCTAAAAGACCTTCTTCCAAGAGAAGGTCTTAAAAGAGTTGCCTGAAGAAGGCCTCTGGCAAAGGCCTTGATGAGGAGTCCCTGGCTGGGAAAACAGACTCATGGAAGAGTGTGGCCAGAGCAGAGGAGACGTCTTTGGATTAATCAGATGTTTTTAATGTTTCTCAAATCATATTCAGCAGCTGTTCTGGGCTGAAGTTGTTGAGGGGCAGAGGCAGTGGGGGTTATAAATGAGCTGTGCCTTTTTATAGACTTGGGATTCATTTTTGTCATGTGCCTTTGGTGTTTCCTTTTTTATTTGGTTAGATTCCTAAAAACGTTTTCCTGTTTGAAGTTACAGTTCAGTGACATCTAGTACAGTCTCTGTTGTGCACCCCTTGTCTGTATCAAGCTGAAAACATCTTTGTCACCCCCCAACATCCTTGCCCATCCCAAGTCACCCCTCGCGCCTCCACAGCTGTCATCAAGGCCACTCCTGAGTTGCAGAGAGAGGTGGGGTGAGGGCGACTAGAAAATGCTACGGCATTTTTACCTACTTTCTCTTCCAGTAGATTTAATGTTTCTGTTTTAATATTTAGATCTTTAATCCATTCTGACTTTAATTTTGTGCATGGTGATAGACATGGTCTAGTTTCAGTCTTCAACATGTGGCAAGCCAGTTTTTCCAGCACCATTTATTAAAGAAGCTATCTTCCAGTAAACTTGTTTGGCCTCTTTGTCAAGATAAGGTGGCTGAGTGTCTTTGTGATTGTAATTGAGTCTTCCAGTCTGTCCCATTGATCTTCAAGTCTTTATTTGCCAATACCATGCTGATTTTATAACAGTAGCTTTGTAATATAATTTCAAACCAGAGAGTGTGATTCTGCCTGCCTTGCCTTGCCTTTGTTACCCAGGATTGCTTTTCCTATGCTGGGTCTCTTCTGGTTCCAGATGAAGTTTAGGAACGTTTCCTCTAGATCTGTGAGGTATACTAATGGTATTTTAATTGGGATTGCATGGCATTTTCTGACTGGTTACAAGTTGTTTTTCCTTGATTCGGCATCACTTCATGGCTGGAACCCTTTGCTTTCCAGAGTTCTTTCCACACCTCTGCCAGGTTGACTCTGTAAGTCTCCCCTAGATGTGTGGGGCTGTTGTGGAGGGCCCGGCCTTTGGCGTGGCCTGCTCTGCCTTGTTCACTGTCTCTTGGCTCCCTGTTAATTGTTGCTTTGGTTGGGTTTTTTCAGTTTTTGGTTTTTGTTTTGTTGCTGTTATTTTTTAATCAATAGACTTTGCTTTTTTGAGCAGTTTAGTTTGCTTATAGATAAACTGAGCAGGTAGTACAGTTTCCATTCTCCCTTCCTTATGATCAACATCTTGCTTTACTGTGTTACATTTGTTACAGTCAATGAACCAATATTAATACATCATTATTAACCAAAATCCAGAATTTATGTGCCAGCCTACCCTTGACATTGCACACTTTCCTGGGTTTTGATAAATGCACAATGACATACACCACATTCCAGTGTCATTCAGCTCCTGAAATCCTGCATTTCAACTTCATTCATCTTCTCTCAGTCCACCCCGTACTCAGACCTTTGGCAATCACTGAGCTTTCCATGGTCTGTTTAGTTTCTCCTACTCCAGACCGTCATGGGGAGGTGGAATCATAACAAATATTTTGAGGGGTGGGGACATAGCTCAGTGGTAGGGTGCCTGCCTAGTGTGCATTAGGCTCTCCCTGGGTTTGAGCCCTAGTACTGCAATGGGGAAAAGGTATTTTGCCTTTTCAGACTCACTTCTTACATTTTTAAAAATTATTTAAGGTCTTCACCTTGCTAGCTCATTTCTTTTTACTGTTGAGTAATATTCCAAGTGCTGAGATTTCAGAAGATACTTTATGAAAGGCAGTCTCTTATCTAAAAAGAAATTTAACAAGCGGAAAAAGAAAAGTAGTCTTATCTCAAGCTGACTTTAAAAGAAGAATGCAGACTAACTGAGACCTAAGATATATTTAAAAATCTATTGAGTTGGGGGCTGGCTGGAGGTTTAGCTCAGCGGCAAAAGCGCCTGCCTGGCAAGCGCAAGGTCGTGAGTTCGGTTCCCGGTACCGGAGAAAAACCGAAAAAAAAAAAAAATCTATTGAGTTGAAGTACTACAGTTCTTCAGTGTATATATCTAAAATGTTATCTATAAAGCTCCTGGTTCCTACTGCATGCTGGAGTAAGCTTACACCTCATAACATCCCCAGATAGTAAGTAATTGCATTCCTATTGTACAACTAGAAAGAGATACAAAAAGATAAGCTGAGCAAAGCTACACAACTTGGCTGTAAGTGGATTAAAATTGAAGCCCAGGTCCTAGGCCTCCCAGGTGAGTTCTCTCCAGTATGCTGTGCTTGTTCTGCTGCTTCTCAGCAAATGCTTCCCAGGCCACTTTACTGACCAGAAGCCTGGCCACATGAATAAACCCACCTTCTTTCTGCATTCCATTTTGAACCTGGGACTTTATAGTTTAAGACCTTTCCAATTAAAACAGGTTGTACACATCTGCTTATCTCCCCACCCTTTCAGAAATATCCCT